GGGGGGGATGTGTTTTTATTTTTAATGCGTGTTTAATTTTTTCTCTTGGTTTTTATTACGCGTTTGATGGTAGTTATAACTGCAGTGGGAGCAGCCGTTACTGTTGTGGTTATTAATCGTTGGGGTTTGTTTTTTTTTGGTTATGAATATTTGACTACGTTTTTGTGGCTTTTAATATTTGATGATGGTTTTGTACCAGCAAATGGTGGTGGCTGGCGCTGTTGCCGACTTTTTGCTGTTGGTACTGCCGTTGTTGACGCTGTTGTGTTTGCTTTTCTCCTTGCAGCTGTTGTATAACGCCTTGGAATCTAGATTTATAGTAAGAGCCTTACCCTTATGATCGGTTTCCACACGATCGATGCTTTAAGCGATGACGAAACCATAGATGTAGCAGTAATACGTTGTTGTTGTTGTTGTTGTTGTTGTTGTTGCTGCTGTTGTTGTTGTTGTTGTTGTTGTTGTTGTTGTTGTTGTTGTTGCTGCTGTTGTTGTTGTTGTTCTTATTGTTGTTGTTGCTGCTGCTGCTGTTGTTGTAGTTATTATTACTGTTGTTGGTGTTCTTGTAGCTGCAATTTGTTATTCAAAATGTGCATTTGGTTTGATTTGCTAAAGTTGATTAAATTTGTTGTTTGTTTGTTTTTGTGACCATGGAAACGGTTGATTTTTTTTCCCGTTGTTACATTTGTCATACTGGCCCACGTCTCGCCACTTCGATTTTGAGCTTTAAGTACTCGTCGCCTCTATCGACATCTCGAGTAAGCAGCTGCGAGCAACAGATAACGACACTGGTAAACACAGACAAAGTAGCTTTATTTAAGTACCAACCACGGCAAACAAGTGCTGGTGATATTATTACGACGGGCAAAAAATACCGACCTGTTAACACAAAGTGTGTTACAGTAGAGACGTAGCCCGAGTAATGTTTTCATAGCAATGGTAAGACTCGGAATAAACTTCCGTCTCAAATAGGATGTGAATATGAGTGTTTGTTTGCATGTGTATGTGTGTGTGTGTCTGTGTCTGTGGCTGTGTGTCTGTGTGTGTGTGTGTGTGTGTGTGTGTGTGTGTGTGTGTGTGTGTGTGTGTGCGCGCGTGCGTGCTGCAAAACAAAAACAACGACAACGACAACAAAAACAACAACAACAAAGAAAATAAAAAGAAGAGGGAGGAGGAGGACCAGGAGGAGGGAGGATGAGGAGGAGGAGGAAGAAGAGGAGGAGGAAAAGATCAATTTCATTTATATGGCGCATATCCATGCACTACAGCAGGCTCTGTGCACTTCACAACCACAACCATTTGTCGAGTACCCCCCCCCCCCCAACCACCACCCCTTTCCGCACATAAAACGGGCATAAAAAGAAATCACATTCCACGGCGCTCAGTGAAGCTATACTTAACATGATAACGACACATTTTGCCAGGGTCAGATTAGTGCAAAATGGAAGGTGCCTCAACTTAATCAGGAAGAAAAGAATTTTGCCAGAAACGCGTAAGTTTGAAAAAAATCAACTCCTCGTTCAAATTAGGGCGCAGAGAACATATTAACCAGCGACAAATCAGCGAGAAATAAGAGAACACAGCAAAGGACAAATCACGGCAGACAAAATTAAGAGTGAAAAGAACACTTTAAAGACGTAACGTCCGAGCCCCCAGCAATCACTTCCCTCATGCAATACCATAATGTGCCGAGCATCGATCTGATGGCCTGTTTTACCCCCTGTCCGATCGAGTACTTGCTCGTTGCTAGCCACAGCGTCAATGATAGAGAGGGAGAGGGAGGGGGGAGATGGCTGATGGAGTCGAATCTGTTTGCTTTGACTTTGACTTTGGGCCTGATAACGGAAGGAATCAGCAGCATGGAAAGGGCAGCTGCGGCATGGCGATGGTTTTATGGACTGTCCTATCTTTATGTGAGCGGTTGTGTGTGTGT